CGATGTTGTGACAGGATATCAGTCAGAATTTGGTCTAGGTTACTGACTTGTTCAGCCGGTCCTGTTAGACCCTAGACGCTGACCGAAAAAAGGATTCGCTCTCGCAAGATAGCTAGTTAATACTGGTTAATGGTTGATTAGCATAATAAATAGGCCTCTCATAACCCAAGCATATCAGGACTTTGAGTAAAGGGGTCCACGGAAGGTTGTACGAGGGAAGAGACAAGGGGTCAGGTAGCAGCACTCTGCTGTCACTTATGCCCAATGATTTCAACGAAGGACTCCTGTGGGTAGGAAAAAAGAGGACAGACGCAGACGTAGTGGAGATGGGAAAAAATCACTGCTTGGCTGTTGATGAGGTCAGGGATACCCCGAGTCTGCAGATTCTGCAAGTAATATAATGCCAATGGTGTCGTAACCCTCTATTAGTGCCCCCCGTTTCTACGAACAATGCGTTATACTGCTGTCAGGTGGCGAGCTGACGCTGCGGTGAGTTGGAACGAAAGAAGAGAATACATTCTTCTTGTGATACATGAATTGTTGCATTTCTTTCATTCGAGAACGCTTCATATTCGTCGACAGTGTCTACTCAAAGACCTGCCTACCTAGGTACTTGGGTAAGAAATAGATGAAGCTCGGCGAGATTTGACGGATCTGCATTATAAAACTAATTCATCCGAGATCAAGCAATTGGGAAAGCTTGAATGCAGTGTCGATGTCATAAACAAGGGACTTATTTTAAGTACCTACCTAAGCTTAGGCTCCTCTAAGACACCGGTGACGCAGGATGGATAAAGCCGTCCACCCGGTCCTGAAACTTGAACAAATTCGGCGTCGATGAAGATTAGGGAATTGGAAAACAATGCTTTCCAATGGTTCGATACGATAGTGCTGATACTTGTCGATAAGCTGAGCCACATAGTGGGGTAAGTTATGGCTTAGTGATTTCAAGGAGGGGCAGAGGGGTCAACTTCAGTTACATACATGTAGGTACCTCCATTATTGTCAACAACAACATTTGAGCGTCGCGATTATTGAATTAAGAGACACCAACATCGCGTAGTTTAGTTGATAGGTCTCTCAAACAACGTCGCCAATTTATCAGTAACCTTCAGCTATCGGTAATTTATGAGGAAATATTTCTAAAGAGTCTACTGTGAGCAATACCTAGGTACTCATCGTGACAATCCCGACATTCTTGGTACAAACGCGTTACATCATGTCACTCCTCTCGGCGCATTTCGAGCAGATAGCTATATCCTGTCAAGGAATTGATAGTCTCCCGTACGTACTCATAACCTCAAACGTCCCATCTATCTTTCGACCATAGTGCTGTAGGCTAAACTATACCTATACAGCTTCCCGCCTCCTAAAATCTTTACCAATGCTCTTCTCGCCAATGACGATATCACCTCCCTAATCCGCGATACCGAAGCACACGAACGAGCGCTCTTCTCCGTCCCGCCTCCTCCGCCCTCTTCCGTAATCCAGAATCCGGATCCACCAGCTCAGTCCTCGCGCCGACAGACCGTGTTTAACGTTGCGTCCGGCGAGGTCACCACTTCCGGCACCAACACAGGGCGTAATGCAAGCGCACCACGGCGACATACAGCAGTGGCTGCGGTACTAGGCGGTGATCTACACGACCAGATCCGCCGGAGCGAGCGGCGCGGCGGCAAGGAGGATATTGATGTTGAGATTCTACTCAAGGGCGCCGAGAAGCTATGCGGCGTTTACCCCTTACCGGGTGCGTTGGAGCGAATAGCGGTGCAACGATCAAAGTATGCACATAATAAAAACACGCTAGCGTACTACGAAGCCAAAGTGGCTGAACAAGCCGAGGCTTTAGGGAAGATGAACAAGGATCATTGGATGGATGAGGATGAAGAGGAAGAAGGCGACGAGGGTGTACAAGAACAGGTGTTCACAGAGGAAGATCTAATAAGAGAGGGAGAGCAAATCCGGGAACTTGAAAAGAAGAAAAGGGAGTTACAGGAGAGGTTGAAGGCGCTAGAGAAAGACGTCGACGGACTACTAAACATGTAATGCATAATGCATGATGCATAAACCCTATAGACTATGATACCCCCTAACGACCAGTGTTTAACGCCAATAGCCGAACCAAGATGATCAAATCAGACCGACGGATGCTCCACTACCTCATTTCCCTTCCTTAGCTTTTGCGAACGCCTCTAGGAAAGCCTGGCTATCCTGCGCTCCATCAACCTCATACTTGCCCTGTATCGTAAAGTGCGGTACACCATGTATGTCCTTCGCATACGCCTCCTGGACTTCCTCGTCAACTTCCTTGCCGCCCTTACCCGTCTCGAGCCAGTCCTTCACTTCAGCCTTATCCAAGCCAGCTTTCTCAGCTGCAGCAATCAAAGTGTCATGCGAGGTAATATCGCCATCTCCCTCAAAATAGCTCTTGAATAACTCCAAGACAACGCGGTTCTCGACGTCATTGCCCTTTGTCTTGCCGAGCTGGATTAGCCGGTGCGAATCGCGCGTGTTGCCAATCTTGCCGTTAAAGCCGAAGTCGATGCCCTCCTCGCGGCCCATCAGCGTTAGCCGCTGCTTCAGGGCAGCGAGTCGCTCCGGGCCGAAACGTTGCACCATGCGCTCCGTTACTGGGACGCCGACTTTGGGCGACGTCGGGTCTAGGTAGAACGGGGCCCAAGTGACAGTAAAACTGTCGTCTTTACCACCCGGATACACTTTGCGGTATAGTTCGATAGCTTTATCTAGCCGCTTCTTGCCTATGTAGCACTAAATGTTCGGCCATGTTAGTCTTGAGCCATGGTGGGAACTACCTAATTCAGGAGAAAACTTGCCCATGGACAGACTGTGTCTGATACTATCTTGATATGGATATTGGTCATTTTGTACTAGTCGAACCCCTGTTCTAACAAATAGACGTCTAGGTCGAATAGAGATTCCGGTATCGTGTAACGGCTTAATGCGGGATAATCTCGTGACACCGTTAGTAGGGATTTACGAAATATATATTTCAAGTCGGACTACGGATCGCATTGGGGAACAGAGAACTAATAATACCGGACACTTCTTGGTGGCTGACAAATACATCACGAAGCCCGATCCGGCATCGTCTTTACTCTGCGCGCTGCGAGGCGCCGACGGATTGGGGGAGCCAAGGGAATGTAACATGCGTTCTATTTAGCGATGACGACATGCCTAGTTAGACAATAAGCAAAGTTTGAATCTACTAGCGTGTCCCAATCCCTTGGTTTGAGACCTGCACCCTATTATTGGTCCTAGGATTTCAGGGGTAGTAGGTATGTTAAATCCCCTAATGAATGAACATATTTAGACTACAATCTATGAATTAATTACATGTACCTATTCTATGTATATCAGTCTAGGTAAGGAGCCGCCTCAGCCTCTTCATTAATTCCTTTTCCTGATACCTACATGTAATTATGAAGGATGAAATCACTAGGTAAGCTCTTATTACATTCGGACCTCGGTGTGCTAGTAGCTCCGAGTCATCTGAGCGGGAGGGGTTTGCATGAATCTCATCGGTCCTTCACAGCTCTCAGGATTCTCGACAATAATCAACGCTTGAAAGGATTACTTTTCAAGCAATATCCATTGCTATTGAGTACTGATAATCAGAAACGGACCATCACTAATAGCCATATATCTCGGGGCCCCTATTTAGATAGATCCAGTGGTTATGTTTTGCTTCGCTTCAACCAACTTCATCATCAAACAATGCAATATTCCATAGTCTTGTTGTCATTTGTTGTTGCTAATCAATTAGCAAGATAGCTCCGCTGTGACACAAATGAGGGGCGATAGCCAATGTGGAGGGGACAGCCACTTGCATAGGAGCAAATACTGCGGCTGCTGATGCATCGGCGGAAGACAACAAACTCTACAAGATAAAATCTGTCTCAACGAAGGGCTATGACATGATTGCCGTCACTAACATCCCTAAAGGTACCCGAGTCCTTTTAGAGGCGCCGTTCTTCATATTTGAAAATGGGCCCGATATTCAGGCCATTGAGCATACCATCATTGAACAAATCAGACTCCTGCATGGAGAGTAACAGCGTGCCTGTTTCGCTCTGCACAATGCCCACGTCGGACGACTTAGCCCTCGTCTTGGCATGTAGTGGTTTTCTAGCCTCTATATACGATGAAGACTCGGTCGGCTCCTCTACTAGTCACTTCACCATCATAATGGCTAGGCTGCCCTCTCCCCCAGTGATCACACTGGTCATAATATTCTCATCCTGGGTATTCTGGGCATTGTTCCTGCAGGCGTGGTTGATACGAGACGCCTCAAGGAAAAGTCCTTGCCGAAAAGCTCCAAAACCAAGAGGCAAGAAGTTTGTTTCAGCATGAGAAAGATTCATCTCCCGAGTCAGACAGTCAGTGATTCGAGGACCGGCTTTGGATGAAGGACGAGTGGCCTAGTGCACACACACCCAATGCCGATGAACTTTCAGGAACTTTGAAACTAAATATATTGGCTAGTATCTTGGAGACTTTAATGGTGGCGGAAAACGACTAGGAGGATTCGAGAAAGCTCGGTTCGCAGGTAAGTACTACAGCGATTCATAAGGCGATATTACATGTCTACCTATGTAGTGAAACTATGTGAGCAAGGAGAGTCCATATACTAACCTTAACGGTGTCTTACGAATCCTCTACGCCCAAGATATTACCTTGGAAATGGAAAAACTGATATGGTAGCTAACATAGAGCTTCGCACAACTATTACGGCTGAGACACTGCATTCGGATGAGGCAAGATGGGAAAAATAGATCCAAAGGACATGTTTACGAGAATTCTTGTAGAATGCTAGGGTGGGTAAAAGGAAGACCGAATCCCTTCTCGTACAGTTTCATTCTGAATACCCTGCTCAACGGAAGCAAGCCAACTTGATCCACGCGTCCCCAAGAGGAAAGTCAGGGGAAAGGGAAAGAAAAAAAGCAAAAGGGTAGTTCCACAACAGACACTTGATACTGTAATGATCGGACCCAGGCTCGAACTGGGGACCTTCAGTGTGTTAGACTGACGTGATAACCAACTACACCATCCGACCAGATGGTCAAGTAACTGTGTGGAACTGACTTGTTATGATGAGGGTCGGCTTGAAATTGTTGTATATAAAATTTTCCTAGTAGTGGGGAGCGGGATATTTCGTATGCCTCGCCGGAGCAAATGGCAAGCTAGCTATACGGAACTGAGGCGGGTCTAGCCCTATAGCTGTGGCCCACTCCTAACGCCAGCGACGTTAGCTGCGTAACGTTCAATTCAGGGGTCTTCCAGTATCTTTGATGTAATTGAAAGTGCGGCTTAGCTGATACGTGGGCATATAAGTGTAAAAGTCTTATGTCTAGAGTTACTATAGAAAGAGTAGTCATATTGCTTCTCAAGTCATTGTCGGTCTTACGTCATAATCTTTACATTAGGTACCTCCTACTATAGTGCTGCAGCTGTCACAGGGCTTTGGCATCGGGCTATGTCTATCTTGGCGTAATATGGCCAAGGTCGCCGCTGCATATCACCTTTCCTGCTACTGAACGAGATATCAACGTTTGAGAGAGGGCGGCGCGTGGGTGGCTTACATATGTCGATCTCCCTCAGCCACTAATAAGATGGCTACCACCTTCGCCCTCCGTACTACTAAGCTATACGCGCAATGCGATTCATCATGACGACGATGACTTGAAGTTCTATCTAACATAAATTTCGGCAACTAGTACATAATGTCTTAACTGGGCCGTTCTAGACTACCTCGATATAGGTAGCAAACAGATGTCCACTGCCACCGTAACTATGTATCATACCTATTATCTAGATTGCCAGCGTCACACCTTCAGAGCGGACGACCTCGCGATCCGACCCATCGCGCCCTCCGACGCGGCCACCGATCCCCCACCAGCATCCACACCGGTCCTCTACGCCGACGCCCACCGAGGGAGCCTCAGTCTCCGGCGCCAACCTACCGATGGCGAAGTAGCAACAGCCAAATATCCGACAAGCAGTGCCAACATTGAAATTAAAGCTGGCGGCAATCACGTCAAGCTTGCGCATTCCTTCGTGCAAGTCGATACCGACGGGCGCTCCCGCGGAAACGAAAAGCCGGAACGGAGTTTCTGGCGCCGCCGTATCACGGACGGGTCTAGGGGATGCTACGTCGGCACGCTGCCGGAAGGTATGAGGTTGAGATGGGAGCCTGCCGGGCCAAAGGAGGATCCGGACACCGTTAAGAAACCGGTGATGCGCGCGGAGAAGATGTTGCCTAAGCTGCGGTGTATGCTAGTCGATGGGCGGGGAATGAGCATGGAGGTGCTTGGGGAGATGATGATGAGTAATGATGTGGTGAGGTTGGCCCGGGGTGGGGAACTTGCTGGAGAGAGAGGAATGCTTGGAATATATGTGCTGTTGGGATTCATTAGCTTGTATGAGAGGGCCAGAGCTAGGGATAAGAGGAAGGCGGAGCTTAGTATTGAGGTAAGAATCCCGATTTCGTTATATTTCCTCTTCGGCGTGTTCTACTCCTAAGACGTGCCTGAAGTCACACGCCTTATATTTTATCCTGAGTTCGTTCTTCGACCTGTTACTCGGACGACACTAATATATCTACCATCGCTAACACTTGAATGCGGACAGTTCACATTTGACGGCGATTCAGGCGGAGGGGACGGAGGAGATGGCGGAGACGGCGGTGGTGGAGATGGGGGAGGAGGGTGAGGAAATTGAGACTGAGCTTGTCGGTCTGGCTAATATGCCACTCATATATTACTATTATAATTAAGGTATTTCTGTTATTAAATCAACGTCGCTTCAAGTAATCCAACATTTCCTCTCATATCCAATTAAAATAACTCATTACCAAGTTTTTAGTATCCTTTCTGCGCCCTTCTCTGCTGCGACCATCACTCCAAACTGCGGATTTACAGTTAAGGGCGAGATAATAGAAGCATCAACGACATGAATATTAAGAGTACCAATAACTTTCGTGTCAATGTCCACGCACTTCCCTATCCTGCAAGAGCTAGACCAGTGTTGAACGGAACCCACAGCGTAGTCAGAGTATGTGGTAATGTAAGTCTCAATCTCTTCTACCGTCGAGTTTTGAGGAATGTTGAGCGGAGTAAGGCCATCAGCTGCGGGTGAGTCGGGTGTTGAAGGTGGCAGAGATTGGAAAATAGAGTGGATGAACGTGGCAATGTTTTTGCCGTCGCGAGGGTCGCTGTAGTATATGTCAGAGCTGGGACCCGGAATGTAATTTCCATCGTCTGAAAGGACGACACGTCCTGCTGACGCAAGGCCAGAGGTACCATAGATGTTGAGGGTAATGGTGTTATTAGCTCCATATTCCCCGTGCCCCGATGAGTCAATAGTGCCCTGGACTCCAGTCCTAGTGCCATCGGAATTGGGTATGTAGCCCCAGAAAGCAGAGGTCTGGGATGCGAAAGCATATGGGCCGCTGCGAGAAGACAGGTAGAGTTCTCTATCTTCAGGAATAGGGTTATTGTAATCTTGGACATATGACTCGATCGTCGGGCCGGATAGTTCGATGAAGGTATTAGGATTATCGAAGAGGCCCTCACCAACTGCTGGGTTGAGGACTATAGTCGAGTTAAAGGGCAAGAATCCAGTTGTTGACATATTCACGGATGTGTCGAACGGACCAATGCCAGAATGCATCAGAAGACCCGGAGAAGCAATGGCACCGGCACTTAGGATGACTCGGCCATCAGAAGAAAGGGGAATGTCTACCAGTGAGCCGTCAACTTCGGCCGCAACGCCAGATGCCACCCCGGCAATATGATTGACGCGTCTAACGCGGACACCTGTTTGAAGGTGGAAGTTGTTCCTCTTCAGGGCGTCTTGTAGGTACGTTCTCGTTGGACCGCCTCGTTGACCATTGATGTAATTGTATGCTGGCCGTCCAAAGACCTTATCCTTATTGTCCGGGTCTTCGTTGAAAGACACATCGGAAAATCCAGCACCATTGACAAGCCATTCCTTCGCTGCCTCATAGCCCGACTGCATGTAGAATTTGCCATCTGAAGAGTAGGTAGTTACCGAAGGCTGCATTTCCAACAGTCTCTCTGTCGCAGCCTTGACATCAGCACTCTTCCATCCGTCTGGGTGATAATCATCCCAGTCAGAAGCTGGAGGTTGGAAGTACAGCCCGGCATTGATTGCACTGTTACCGCCAATGGTGCATGCTTGGTAAGAGTTCACCACGCCCGGTGGGCACAATAAATCTGTGTTTCCGTTGAAGATACTCTTGTCTAGGCATTTAATCTATTAGCTCAATATGACTACGTAGGTGGCGCATCTGGTGCATATGCTTACATAGTCCTGGTACATCAACACGGCTCAATCCCGTCCCATCAAGCCATGCTGGTCTCTCTGTACTTCCCGTGATCCCATACGAAGAACCACCAATCTCTAGGAGAAGGGTTTTCTTTCCAGCCTCACTTAACCTGTCTGCCACGATGATTCCTGCGGTTCCAGCTCCGACGACAATGGCATCCCATTCTTGACTTTTCCAATCGGCTGAATCCTGTCGGGTTTCAAACTTAGGCGCGCCAAGCACGGGTTGACTCAGGAAGCTGGCAATTGCCGTCAAGGTCAAGAGTGACATCATCTTAGCGTTTTGGGGCTCAGCGTAAGAGCTAGAGAAGGAAAAAGAGGGAGGGACGAGACGCTTTTCAACCCTACCATGATATATTCGTCGAATTGTCGAATAGGCATCCTGGGATCTGCTGTGTACCATTCGTAGGTAGCCTATTAACCCATGTCCTCGTTATTAAAGGGCCCCCGGTTGAGGATGTCATGGTGGATCAAAACCACTGCCGTGTCTAGACCGGCAGTAGACCCTTGTCCATCACGGACCCTTATTTTACATCCGCAGTCGTGGAACGGCACTAAGGGTCATATTGCCATTACAAGACCTCGTATTGCGGCAGACATCGGATTCAGCTAAGATCCTCCTAGTGTATTTATGATGGGCTGAGCTGAAAGGCGCAGTCTGCGTGCTGCTTCGCATCTACATGTACAGCGTTAGTTCACCAATTGCATTCCTCGTAGATAACCTTGAATCCGATCGGCATATCCGACAAATGCATTCGTTCGGGTCAATTAATTGGAAATTTTATCGGAACCGGTACATACAATTCAGCTCCTTAACCCCTGAAGCTTCGTGTCCGCAATTGGTGACATACTCGTACTCTTCCGATAGCACGGGATCGCGCAGGGTTTGGTCTATAATTTACGATGAACACGAGAAGATCTCGATCTAAACTTCTTGGAACTGATGTTCACTAGCCGGTACGAATATTTCGATCAAGCTTTGGACTTTTAAATGAGCGCGGGATTTAAGGAGAGCTGACTACTACTGTATATTGCTCTGGTATCCATCTCTTATGTGCATTGAGATTGGTTTGTTTAGCTCGACATCAAGTGAATGATTTTAAACTCAGTATAATAACTCCAATCCTAGTTTCGGAGCGGACGGAAAGTAAACAGGTCAGGCAGAATATGATCACGACACGTAAATAAAAGACATTTAGCTCGATAAGGTGGATGGACATATCTTCCCATCACTTGAGGGTTAACCCTAGCTCCTTGGCAATAATGTCGGCCGCTTTCTCACCAATTACCAAAGCAGTATTATTGGTATTCGCAGCAACATTATAGGGTGGGATGCTAACATCTGCCACCTTGAGTCCCCGAACTCCGTATACATTGAGGTCCTTATCCACGACGCCCATCTCGTCGCGCGGCGCCATCCTAGCCGTGCCGAGGGAGTGCCACGTGGTCTGGATATTCTCGCGAAGGTACTGCTCGATGGCAGCGTCGTCCTCGGGCGAATACTCCAGATCCTGAATCTCGTGGCCTTCGGCTGGTGGAGCCCACTCTTCGAGACAGGCGGCCTTAGATCCCTCCGGAAACTTTGGGTGTTTGCTCGCGATCTCGCCGCGGTAGTAGGCCGTCCGTCGAACCATCTCCCGGCCCTTCTTGTATGCCCACACCTGTTTCTTCAAGTCTATGTCATTGGCATCGCTGAAGATGCCCAGT